TGCACCTTGTTGTCTCGGATTCTCCAGCATCTGCAGTTCCTACTATCTCTGGGTAAAAAAAATACTGCTTTTTAAAAAGATTTGCTACTAACTTTCCAAAACATCTATTGTTCATCACGGATTTGAAATCTTTAGTTTGCATCAACAGTGCCAGCCGAGAGCAGAAATGAATGACACCATTAACCTGTTACAGCAATTCCAGTATGAGTTTACATTCTGCGTTAACTGTGTGCTGAAAAGCAAGGATTACATTCTTAAATCTCCTTTCTTCAGCTCTGCAGAAGGCTCAGAGGGTAAAACCACTGCCCAATTGATCACAATGACCAGTGCCATGCTATAGGTCTTATAAGTCAGGGGTGCAGTGTTGTGCTGTGGCAGCAGGCTGGAAGAGACTTTGGCTTCTGGATGTTTAGCCGAAGGCCCATTCTCTTACAGGCCTTTGTAATACAGGCTGAGCTCCAAACAGTGTGTGCTCACATCCAAGTATTGCAGCTTGTTGATAGAAGTTGGGATGGTCCTGGTTCTGGACTGGAGGAGACTCAGGTTGAACAGTTTCCCTCTTGTCCTGTAGGTTAACTCCTCAGCCATGGGAAGCTTCGTGGATATGGTTAAGAGTGTTATGGTTAGGAAGTTGGAGAAAAGCACCGATGCAATGATGCAGACTTGTTTGACCCTTGTTTGCACCCGTATGGAGTCTGTGCTGGATCTGTCAGTGAGGATCATGGGTTGCATGCCATTGTGCAGGAGGTAGAGAATAGTGATGAATTTCTGCAGGTAGCCAAATCTGAGAAGGATGTTCTATTGTCCCTCCAAGATATAAGCACTGAAGGCTTTTGTGAGGTCGAAGAAAGCAATGTATGGAGGTTGGTGCTGCCGTCTGCACATTTTTTTGAATCTGTCTCACTATTAATGCAGTGGGAAAGAGCAAAACCAGCAGTGGGGATATAAGTAGCAGAGAGGCAGCAAAAATGCATCAGGGTAGTAGCAGGAAAGACTGGTCTAACCAGAGCATTATAGAAGTTAGCTTCTTCTGCCATGTTTTCTACTCTTTTGACTCGGTAATACAGTATTCTTTTTGGGTTTGTTTATTGCTGTTACATACTAGTTGAACATTCAAGTGAGAGTTTGCTAAAACTCCTAGTTCTCGTTCACTGTCTTCTTCAATTATGTATACACCATCTCTCAAATACACATATTGCCCATTTTTCATTCCTATGTATTTTCAGTCAATGTATCAACACTCTTTACCTCTTCAAGTGGCAGATCCCTCAGCTTGGGCAAGGAGCTGGAGAGAAGTCCTATCAGAAATGGAGTGGGAGAGCAGGCTATGTCAATCATGGATGGAGGTAGTACAGGGATGTAAGTGTGCTGCCAGGCAAAAGGATACAAAAGTGCCATCACTGCATGGCAACACTTGGATAAGGTACTGCAAGAAAGAGAACACACCAGTTAGAAACTGCATTCAATAGTACGAGGCCACACAAATAACTGGTTTTTAAATACAATTTCATCCTCAAATCTGATGAACACAAAACCTGAATTCCAGAAAAACTCCCATCGGGCCAAATCTTCTGATCTTGGAATTGGCTGCTTGGAGGTAGGAAGGGCACTTGATTAGGCAGCTATGATCAAAAGTAAACCCTGGCACCTTTTTGCTTCCACCAGAATTAAGCGCTGGGTGGGAAGACCCATGGTTGTTCTTCCTGCCCTGCTGCTAATTGGGGTCCTTAATTGGACAATTAAAGAGCACTCAGGGTCTTAACCCATCATCATCACTGTCAGCGTTAGAGGGTCAGCATTTGGGTTGGGGGTGCTGATGTGGCTGACATCATCAAACAGAGGTGAATTGGAGCCTGATCAAGTGTCTGGACATTCTGCAGTTGGCCAGGGTGCTGCAGAGAGGCACTCCCTGCATTTGTTTCTGACTCACTCCCCTTGTGAGCCCCAACCCAACAGTCCACCACCAATTTCCCTTTTCTTTGTTCTGCATCCAAAGTGATCCTGTGACACCTTCCTAGAAGGGGCAACATGGATCTCTCGCTGGATCTTCAACCAGCAAGAGCTGACTGATGATACAACAATATTGTTGCCCCTTATTTGAGTTGTACTGTTGTTTGTGTAGGATTGAAAATTATTGCAAAATATATCTTTTGACCTTACTGTAAATATCCACTTATAGTCATGGTAATTAATTTCACAGTTAATAAACTTCTGTAGATCTTATAGTGTAAAGACAATATTACTAAAAACTTAATAAAAGCAAAGAAACTACTGAAAATGTCGGTTAACCCGAAATACAATATCCAGCAATGTAGAGATTCTTCCAATGAATTATTCTTTCACCTCTGCTTTCAAATCCAGCAGGCCAGTGGGTCAAAGTCATGCACCTGCTGGTTATAACAAAACATTGAGTGAGTTTGGGTTGTCTCAGCTCAATTCCCAATGGTTCTGGATGTCATATTTATCATGAGTTAATACAAGACTCAGAGATCATAGGATGGCTCGTGTGAAAAGGTCAAAAATGTCTCACTGGTACAATGAGGGATATTTGTGTTTGCGAAGCATTATTTGAGTGAGGTACAGAGAAATCCAATAGCATATAACCATGGTTATATTGTAGTTGGTGTTCATACGGAGTATCTGAAAGCAAATGTATTCTATTCTTGGCACTAATATGTATCAATTTAATAAGCAGAAAAATATGCTCAAAATGACTCAGAAAATGTGTTGACATAAGCAATAAATTGTTATTCGAGTCATAATGAATTCAAGATTCAGGTTTTTGTAATCTTGGAAAAATATTTTACAGTGAGATGCATGAAAAATATCAAAGTTTTTTTTATGTTTCAATATCTTGATTACGCAATAGCTTGAATAGTAAAATCAAATATGTTGCAGTCAGTATAATGCTATTCTATCTCCCACTATTTATGACGTTAAACCTTCAAACTGTCATTGTCCTGCAACTGAGTAGACAGTGGCGCCAAGCAGATGTGGAGTAGTCTCCTCTGACCTTTAGCAATCTCTATATTGGAGAGAATTCTGTGTTTTCCACCCCCCCACCTCTTTTATTGTCTTTCAATGAAATGCGTCATTAGAAGTGGGCAAGATTCCCAGTGAAAGACTGAGTTAAATGTGGTGTTTATACGACAAGACTTCAGGATGATGGACAGCCAGAGTATTGGAACAGCTGCTTCCAATTAGATTCTGGAACATCAGAAGTTGTGAAGAGTGAACAGGATTTGGCAGAACAAGACTCCTTCACCTCTCTCTGAGCTCAATCAGCCTGCCTCTTACAAAGGAATTTAAACAGAAAGGTGTGGGACATATATCAGCTCTGCTTAAAGTAGTAGTCCCTCCCTCAGAATCTGTAGATTTAGTGTGATGGTGGGGGGAGTCCCTCACAATGTGTTTATTGAGTGTGAAAATTACAGAGTTTTCGGAGTTTTATGCTTCAATGGGTGGATAAGAAGGGCAGCTGATTTCAGACAATGTGACAATGGGATAGCCACTACTCTCAGTCTGCAACGTTTTATGTATTTTTCTTTTCCAAATCATTCTTATTTGTATCAGTTGCAATTGTTTGTTTTTATTTATTGAATTATTCACTTCATCTTTCTTTTAGTGGGTTGTGCTCTTCGATGCTACATCAAACTCCCTGATGTGTCCTGTTTCCAGTCGTCTACCATTAGAAACTGCATTGAGACAGAATGGGGTTCATACAACAGAGCCTATGGGTTCACTTGTTAATTTGTCCCCCCATCCAATTGTATTGAAGCACCACATTTGAGCAGAAAATCTTTGCACACTCTTGTCCAAGCATTTTGTGTTGAAGCTTTGGAAGTCAGCACCACTTTGGACAAGGAGTTTAAACATCAGGCCGCTACAGCTTGGAGGCACGGACACAAATCTAAGTGCTGCAAAAACTAAGCAAACCTTATTTTGTAAGAAATCTTCATATCCCTATACAGAAGTAATTATCAATATATTATCAAAGGTAATTCAAAAGGCTGGGACTCATCTCTAGAAAACACTGAGGGGTGACATAGTAAAACTATAGGGGTTCAATATGTGTTCCAATGTGTTTCCAATTGGGTTCAATAATAACAGGCTGCAATCACTAATGGATGCAATAAGGATTCTAGGAAAGATTCTTTAAGGAAGAATTAAGATGTGGAACTCACTATCACATGGAGTGCAGGAGAGAAATTGATTAATTGAAAGAGAATCCATGTAGGTATTTTATGGAGAGAAATAAAATGTCCAGGTTGATAGGACAAGGTGGAAGGAAGCACGTGTGGAGCATAACGAGCTGTTTAAAACCCTTTTCCACTAACCAGCTTACTTCTCTGTTGTAGAACATAGAACATAGAACATAGAACATTACAGCGCAGTACAGGCCCTTCGGCCCTTGATGTTACGCCGACCTGTGAAACCAATCTGAAGCCCATCTAACCTACACTATTCCATTATCATCCATATGTTTATCCAATGACCATTTAAATGCCCTTTAAGTTGGCGAGTCAACTATTTTTGCAGGCAAGGCATTCCACGCCCTTACTACTCTCTGAGTAAAGAACCTACCTCTGACATCTGTCCTATATCTATCACCCCTCAATTTAAAGCTATGGCCCCTCGTGCTAGCCATCACCATCCGAGGAAAAAGGCTCCCACTGTCCACCCTATCTAATCCTCTAATCATCTTGTATGTCTCTATTAACCTTCTTCTCTCCAATGAAAACAGCCTCAAGTCCCTCAGCCTTTCCTCATAAGACCTTCCCTCCATACCAGGCAACATCCTGGTAAATCTCCTCTGCACCCTTTCCAATGCTTCCACATCCTTCCTATAATGCGGTGACCAGAACTGTACTCAATACTCCAAGTGCGGCCGCACCAGAGTTTTGTACAGCTGCAACATGACCTCATGGCTCCGAAACTCAATCCCTCTACCAATAAAACCTAACATACTGTACGCCTTCTTAACAACGCTATCAACCTGGGTGGCAACTTTCAGTGATCTATGCACATGAACACCGAGATCTTTCTGCGCATCCACACTACCAAGAATCTTACCATTAGCCCAGTACTCTGTATTCCGGTTACTCTTCCAAAGTGAATCACCTCACACTTTTCCGCATTAAACTCCATTTGCCACCTCTCAGCCCAGCTCTGCAGCTTATCTATGTCCCTCTGTAACCTGCAACATCCTTCCGCACTATCCACAACTCCACCAACTTTGGTGTCATCCGCAAATTTACTAACCCATCCTTCTACGCCCTCATCCAGGTCATTTATAAAAATGACAAACAGCAGTGGCCCCAAAACAGATCCTTGAGGTACACCACTAGTAACTGAACTCCAGGATGAACATTTCCCATCAACCACCACCCTCTGTCTTCTTACAGCTAGCCAATTTCTGATCCAAACCGCTAAATCACCCTCAATCCCATGCCTCCGTATTTTCTGCAATAGCCTACCATGGGGAACCTTATCAAACGCTTTACTGAAATCCATATACACCACATCAACCACTTTACCCTCATCCACCTGTTTGGTCACCTTCTCAAAGAACTCAATAAGGTTTGTGAGGCACGTCCTACCCTTCACAAAACTGTGTTGACTATCCCTAATCAAATTATTCCTTTCTACATGATTATAAATCCTATCTCTTATAATCCTTTCCAACACTTTACCCACAACCGAAGTAAGGCTCACTGATCTATAATTACCAGGGTTGTCTCTACTCCCCTTCTTGAACAAGGGGACAACATTTGCTAGTCTCCAGTCTTCTGGCACTATTCCTGAAGACAATGATGACATAAAGATCAAAGCCAAAGGCTCTGCAATCTCCTCTCTAGCTTCCCAGAGAATCCTAGGATAAATCCCATCCAGCCCAGGGGACTTATCTATTTTCACACCTTCCAGAATTGCTAACACCTCCTCCTTATGAACCTCAATCCCGTCTAGTCTAATAGACCGTATCTCAGTATTCTCTTCGACTACATTGTTTTTTTCCTGTGTGAATACTGACGAAAAATATTCATTTAGCACCTCTCCTATCTCTTCGGACTCCACGCACAACTTCCCACTACTATCTTGACCGGCCCCAATCTTACTCTAGTCATTCTTTTATTCCTGACATACCTATAGAAAGCTTTAGGGTTTTCCTTGATCCTACCTGCTAAAGACTTCTCATGTCCCCTCCTGGCTCTTCTTAGCTCTCTCTTTAGGTCCTTCCTGGCTAACTTGTAACTCTCAAGCGCCCTAACTGAGCCTTCACGCCTCATCTCCACAGAAGCCTCCTTCTTCCTCTTGACAAGAGATTCAACTTCTTTAGTAAACCACGGTTCCCTCGCTCGACCACTTCCTCCCTGCCTGACAGGTACATATTTCTCAAGGACACGCAGTAGCTGTTCCTTGAACAAG